AATAACAGTAAAGTTTATTTATATGTCTGAGAGTGGTCTAAAAGCTACAGTTAGCCTTCAGGGGGATCTACCAGGATGTAAATAGTTTCTGTGACTTCCTGTTTATTCTTTGAAGGCTGCTGGAAACTGTCCCCTCCTCTTCTCACTGATCTCATTCACTTTCCAGGCAAAGTGCAGTTCATCTCCAAGAGCCTAATGTGTAACGCCTTTGGCCTTTTGGAGTTTCCTTAGAAGAAGAATGAATGTGCAGGTTGGTCAGGTTAACCTCAAAGTCCACCAAGAAGTAGATCTGTCTGTTTACTTTCAGTCCGACTCAGAGACAAAATGTTTGACAGGATTCATTTAAAAATCTGTTATTATTTATTAATATTACAATTATTTTATTACAACTTGAGACTTACTTTGATGGTTGTATTTTCTATTAGTAATAACACTGACAAACTTCATTGGAAGAGAAAAGAAAGGTGAACAAAATTACTCGCACAGTTTAACCTCCTAATAAAGTGCTTCAGATCAGTTTATTATTTAAGATCTAAACAGGATGAGGGCACCGTGAAGAGCTGAACACAGTCTATATTCACTGAGCCTTCACTGTAATCTATAAACAGCCTCGTCCTGCATCAGAAAAGTTAAATAACTTATAGAACAATGAGAATAAAATACATTTCAATACGTAATACAGAATAAAGTCCCTAAAATTGTCAGGAAAAACTCTTATTAGGAAATTCTGATCAAAATTCCTCCAGTTGACTTGTTTTCCTCAAACTTCCTGCAGTGATTGTTTTCACTGTTTGGGTTCATTGTTCAGTTTATCAGCTGTTCTCTTCTGTTACTGTTGAAAATAATATGAAATATTCATTAAATGTCTGATAGAAAAGGGCTCCCTTAAGGAAAAAGGTTGGGAACCAGTGGTTTAGATCGTCTGGATAAACTGTTGGTCTGAATTTGGTGCCTTCAACGTTATCACTGCAAAAATAAGATGCAAGTAGTGATAAACAGAATTTTTTGTGTTCCCCACAGATCAGATTTTGTAGCTCCTGCTGCATAAATTTGCACATTAATGAGGAAAACGGAAAAATACTTTAGTAAATCCAGCACAGCTCCTCCATGTTGTAAGACATTAACTGTATCCTAGTACCACCCACGTTAACAATATAATGGCATTTAAAATCATTACTGACCCCGTTAGGTTGTGTCTGCATTGTAAATCTGTTGACAGTGATGGGAGCGGTGTTGACCTGTGTGGCCTGTAGGTGGAGCTGCAGATGCACAGCAGCAGAATTTGGGCAGTAATCCTAATCTTCAGCAGATCCTCAGTGCTGCCCCTCTCAGTGTGTGGAGTCAGATTTTAGCTGAAAGCACTGGCTGTGTTGACGAGGACAGACTCTTTAAACTGGGAATGTTCAGCACAGTTTGTCGTATTGATTGATGCTGCGTTTGAGTTCCTGTTGTCATGTGGGTCAGTTTACAGATTCCTGCACATTTAACACTCGGGGTTGATTGTGATTGAGCCTGCGGGCTGAACGCAGTAACAGTAACCTACTTTATTGTTCGGATGACAGAAAATACATCAAAACCAATGCAAGCGTGTAGGACATGGGTTAGTCGTCCATTGTGAGTAAAGACGAGGCGTTTAGGGACTGGAACTGGAGCAGTGATGGTCTGTGTTGCATCCAGATGAAATGATGATGGGTCAGTGTATCTGTGGATGCAGGAGAGGGAAAGATCTGGAAACGCTCCTCCCACCAAACCCCGGCTCTCCTCCTGGATTTTAAATCCACTTATGAAATCTGTCCAACTGCACAGCGCCCGTTTTCAACACTAGTATGTGGGTTATTTCGGGGGATATTCTATGTTGTATAAATTATTTTCCCATTCATAATTTACTGAACGTAAAGGCTGGAATACTATTATTCTCTACAGTCCACAGCACCGTCGCCTCAGCTGGCGAAGTAAATCCTCTTGGTACTTCTGTGACCAATAGTACCAATCAGCCCAACCAGAAATTGATTATTGAAGCTCATATTGAGATTTGGGACATTTCCGGTTCAGTTTGATTTGAGATATTTCAGTTACAGTGAAATTTTGCTTGGATATGAAATGCAATTACATTCTTTTTTCAATTTAGTTTAATTTGTACAGCGTCAAATCATAACAGAATTATCTCAGGACACTTTTCAAATAGAGCCGGTCTAACCTGTACGTTTAAACACTTACATTTGTGGGTAAGGGTTTGTAGAAGCTACTAATCCAGAAACATATTGTTACTGAAGGTACATATTGGCCCCAGTATTGAAGTATTTTAAGTAGTACCCAGTCCTATTCCCCAGAGGATGAACCCTCCTTGATTTTAACAACCTCATGGCTTTATGGTCTTTCTCCTCCACTGGGGGTAACAACAAAAAATATTTATTTATTGTTTACTTCAATCAATGCATCCATCCATACTGTCAGTTTGGGGTCTGGTGGTTCGTGTTTCTAGTTAGTGCTGAATGTCTTTAACCTTCAAGTACATCCTATAGTTTTATTTTTAAACTATCATCAATTTTACTTCATATTTAGCTTCTCTTATGTTACAATCTGGTTAAAAACCCATCAGGAACATCACCAGCAGCTCGTGGTTCAGTCCTGAACAGCCTCTGAGGTCTGTCAGGTTTTTATCTCGAGCAGAGAATATCTAAAAGAAAGCTGCAGCTCTCAGCCTGCCTGCCGCTAACCGGGAGTCCTCGTCGCACCCCCCCCGGTTGCTGACGCTGACATGCACGTCGCTGTGTCTGAATCCGGGGGCGACATCGATTATTCATGCAGTGAGTGGAGCCAGCCCCCCTCGTGCTGACATGTGCCACGCTCACTGAAGCCGATTAATTGGCAGGAGAATGGGAGAAGAAGAGAGGGAGGGTGTCACAGAGAAAGAGCAACTGAAGAGGGAGGGGTGACGTGAGAAAGAAAAGAGGGAGTGTTATTGTGCTTTGGAGGTGGAGGGAGGTGGTGGAGCCTGAGTAACAGGATTGAGTTTGGATCTGTTGCTGTCGCACCGCACAGACCGAACAAGCCTGTCCGGATCTGAAGGAGCCATCCATAATTTATTATTTCACCTCCTCCAATTGGGAATCTCCTCCAGGACGATGACCACACATTACCCCCGGCAGGAGTTCACATCCAAGGCCATGAACGGAGCTGAGAAGAAGCTTCCACGGGTCAACATCAACCTGCAGGAGTCCATCGCCCACCTGCATCCGCTCCAGAGGCAGCACGCCATCGAGCTCCACCGACAGCAGCAGCAGCAGCAGCAGCAGCAGCAGCCAAAGTGTCCGCAGGTGCAGGCGTCTCTGTCGACGTTCACCACCTGCACCGTGCCGGCGTCCTGCCGAGCTCGCAGTCGTTTCCTCAACCTGCGAGACAGCGTCAAGAAAAGCCCGACCAAGAGTACCGCTAAAGTGGTCGGCAGCAGCCTCGCAGCAAGCAGACCGGAAATACCCTGGGTACCGTTCTCTTTCAGTAAGGTACTTCAACATTGTTCTGTTTGAAGTTGGAAGAACAAAAGCTCTACCGCTTTTTAGAGGTTAATTGAAGAGTCGCTGACCGAGCCGGTTTGAAAAAGTACTCATGTTTGTGGCTCCAAGTACTCGTAGCACTGAGTTGTACTAAAGAGTACCAAAGGTTGGCATTGAATGTCGGGTCAGATTTGTAATGTTGTGCTTTATCTTTGATCAGAGTAGTTTCAGACTTTAGTCAAAATGTTGCCAGGTTTAGACTTTTTGTGTGGCTGCTTGTGTCCAGACAACATTTAACACTTTAGCTTCTTTTGTTAATAAAAGGAATGCGTAAAAAAACTTGTATTTGTTAAAGTCAGGGTTTGAGAAAGAACCCAAACACCAACTCTTGGTCACTTAATGCTCTGAATGTTCTTTATTTACAACAATTGATCGACAGTGTGTTGGATCTTGGTTTTTGATCCGCTCAGTAAGACTTTTAAGTGTGAAAGAACTTTGTTACTGTTCAGAACCAGACTGATCAAAGTGCTGCTTTGCTGAAACTCAGGAATTGTATCGACACTAGTATTAAAACCTTGGTTGTTGTCTTGCTTTTGTGACCCTTGACCCTTGAACTTGTCGTGTTGTTGGTGACCGAGCAGCTGAGGGTCGTTCTGCTGCAGAACTCAAGTAGTAAAATTATAAATGACTGAAATGAGAAAGTGTTTTCCGAGCTAGCTGCACATGTACAGTTTTGTGGTGGGAGTGTGTGAGAGCTGTCGGAGTCAGATTGAGCTACTACACTGTGTGAGTTCATGGAGAATCAGTACAGACTGTCCATGTGCTGCCATGACATCTGTTGTGTCCCTGCAGCTGAAACCTAGAACCTCATCTTTCTGTTTCAGCATTTAAACTCGTCTTCGTCCATCAAACAACTTCTCTTTCGATTGTGTTTCGATCTTTAACTGTTTCACACTCGTTTTATAGCCGTTTTTATCTCAGTCGACTTACACGAACTACAGTAGAGTGCACGATGTACACACTAATTAACATTCGATTGATTTGGTTAAGTCTGCAATCAACGATTATTTCCATGTTAGATTAATGTGTTGATTCGAGCCAGACCGGTAAATCAGCTGATGTTAGCCTTTCACATTTAAATTCTTATTGGCACAAATGTCAGCGCATAAATTGAAATACAAATATATTCTTGTGGTAATATTGTTAAAGAACTAATTAATTAAATCCCTGTCAGTAATGTTTGTTATGTTGAAAATGTATCAGCTGATATATTGTCATCCAATATTGATATCATTATAAGCATAAAATGTTTATTTTTGTATCAGTCTGTAATATTTCAGAAAAAGGAGAAAAATGTCCATCACAACCAACCAAAGATTCACTTTACCCTCACTTTAGAGAGTTTTTTTCCTCAATAATTGACTTGGATCAGTTATCAAAACTGTTGCTGATTGACTAATTGATTAATTGACTAATAGTTTCAGAAAGAGTTCTACAGCGTTGAGGGTCTTTTCCACCACAAGCTCGCTGCGATCCAGTCCGTACAGGAGCGCTCACTCTTGTTAAATTAAAACATAAACTCCGTCCTGCGTGTGTTGCTGCATTCGTCACACCGGTTTGTGTTCTTTGGGAGCAATTAAGCCCCATTGTCAGCGGCTTTCCGAGCGGCGCTCCAGAAGTAGGGCTGGCGGATCAATGCGGTCGATGTGCGGGGGCTAATTTTAGCGGCTGTTGGTTTTCCATGGGCTCCAAGTTCTGCTGCTGCAGCACAACAATTAAGCCTCTTCGAAACAGAGCGACACTTCCTGCCAGCGGCTTCACGAGGTCCTGCTCTTGCATAATAGAGGTCACAGTGTTGAAGGCCGCCTCACACTCACTTCTCTTTATTACACTTTTACATGTAAGCCAGGGGTTTAAAAGGTAGATTGGTGTGTAAAGGTACAGTCTGATAGATACAGAGCTCGGTTACATCATGCACGAGTGTTTAAAAGATAAACTGGTACCAAAGTAAGAATTAGGAAATGGTGTTTGCTTACCGTCACAGGTTGATTGATTTTGATACCTGACGGCTGCCTGAACAAAAGTAATCATAAAAGAGTAAAAGAAACGTAAATGTCGGTCACAACCCACACTGTTAATATAATAATACTAATACATTGACATTAGATTGATTTTAATTAATCTCTGCTGCTAATACCTGCCTGGTACCACGGCAGTAAATGATTCATTTTAGGGTTCACGTGAACATACAATCTCAGATTATTCTGAAAGCTCCGATATACCCAACATAATAAAACCAAACTAACTAAAGATGTGGCTCATTGGCAGTAAATGAACACCAGTGCTCTGACTCTGAGCTGTTCACTGATGTGAACACTCACAGGTCGGAAACATTGGGATCTTTCCCATCACTACCTTTGATTAGTTCTGCTCATTTGGGTTCACAGTGTGCTGAATTTTACATCCTAGAGGGGCGCTAACGGGACTACTTTGTGTTTCAGTGAGGTTTCACAGATGTTGGGTGGTAGTGACATAAATAAGCCAACAGAGTTAAATGTATAATCATTAAACATTAAACATCATTAAACAGTGTATAAACTGTAGAGCTGTGTTCTATATGGAGCTGATTAAATATAATATTCAGAGTTATTATTGAGACTCGTAGAATTTCACTGGTATCGACTGATTCCTTTATACTGGTTCTTCTAAGTTTTGACACTAAGATTTAAATTTTTACTACAAATGTACTTCAGTTCCAAATGTCTGCTTGATTACTAATAATCAATATCCGTATTGGCCCTGAAGAAAAGTGATGTAAAGCAGTGGAAAAATATTAAGTCTGATTGTTAAAATGATAAAAACACAGAATACAGACAGAGAATNNNNAGAATGGATCAATATATCAGGAAAACTCATCCCTGATCAATATTCACAGGAAATAATCAAACTTCCTGCAGTGATTGAGTTGACTCTCTACTGTTATTGTTTATAATATAAAATATCCTTAAAATATGTCACCGTCAGGAGTGCCTTAAAGGAAAAGGTTGCTGTAACCCACGAGGCAACAGTATCCGGCCGTGTAATGACATAATGTAAAACCAGATGATAGAATAGTGCAAACAGCAGATCTGCCACTGTAACATATTGCTGGGGCAGTTGTGAAAGTGTGACCTTTGACCTTCGTGCTGATGTCACTGCTGGCTGTCAGGGGTTAATACTCTCTGCTGCTCTTCAATAATCACAAAAAGGACATCCACCCCCCCGCTGAGACTGTACCGAGGGAGCGGGGATTTAACACGCACACACACAGGTCAGATAGTGCGGCTTTAATCTCCTCCGAGCAGCAGATGGGAGCAGAGTTTGTCACATCAGGATTGTCCAAAAAGCAGAAGTGTCAGGTAACCTGTCCATCACAGAGCGCCGTCCTGCGATTGGCCGAGCTCTCCGACCACCCTGTGTGTCAAACTCCGCCCCGCTGGCTCCTCGACATGATAAAAACAAACCTGTCAGTCACCATGGACACTCATACATCCTCCTCCTCCATCCTCCATCCTCCTGCTGTTCATCTGTGCTGCACTGTGTTTGTCTAACCTTTGACCCCTCACCATGCTATTGTTCAGCAGGCCGAGGCCACCCCGCCCTCCTCTCCCATAATCCCTGTGATCCCGGTCTCGCCAATCGCAGCCGAGACCACCATCATCCCTCCGACGTCACAGGTTTCTTTTTATTTTGTTGTTGTTGTTTATTTTCCTCCACCTGTCCTCCTCTGCTCCGTCCGCCTGTTGGTTTCTCTCTCCATGTGTTTGTCTGCTCACCGTCCGGCTCCGTGTCTGCTGCCGTCCAGCTGTGGCTCCGATGAAGTGAGCAGATTAGAGATAGGAACAGTGGGAGAAATGCCACACTTCCCCCCACATGACTTTTAAGAGCCCATCTGGCTCCTCCCGGGCAGAAAGTGAGCGAGCGATCGAGGCAGAAACAGAATGAGTGAGTGAGTGAGCGAGGGCACAGATTGAGTTCAAAGCTAGAAGGAGCAGAAGGAGCAGAACCGCCGTCCTTCAGGACTTTGATTTGATTGATTTAGGCTTCATGCTTCAGCATTGTATCTTCTGCAGTGTGAAATGCCACCATGTACGTACCGCAGCGCTCTGTCCGCACTAATCTCTGCTTCCTGTTTTATCCTCAGTTGGTCTGTGATGTGTTTTATTTGCTGCACGGCGGACAGCTTGGGTCCAGTGTGTGCTGTGTTTGCAGGGGTGGAGCTCTGTGGGAGGGTGCTCAGGTTTTGTGGCTGGATGTTGATGGGGGGTGTATTTGTTTTTTGGTTTCCTCTGACACTGTCTTCTCTCCTCAGGCCAACCCTCCCCCTGTGGTGGTCAACACAGACAGCCTGGACACGCCTCCATATGTGAGTTCATCACCTGCGCTTTGGTCGTTCATTTAGTTTCCTTTTCATGTTTTAGGGGCAGAGTTTGTTGTGTTACTGCTCTAAAGCCTCGTTCACACTACACTTCCTGTCTGTGACCAGCAGTAATCCCAGAGTCTGTCAGACAACATCAGGAGTCATTAATAACAAACATCATGTTCAATTAGGAACGTAGTTTAATAGTAGTATCGTCTTTAACATTGTGTCTCCGCTACAGAAACTCTAGGTAACTGCTAAAGTCTGATAAGGTTGTCTGACAGTATTAGTTTGATTAATGCTTTAATAATGTGAGTATTGATAACTGATGCCTGCTGATCAGGATCATTAGCAGCTAATTGGACTCAGTTGCCCTTTATGTGCCTGTTTTCAAACTACGTTCCTAATTAAATCTGATGTGCTTGTTATTAATTAAAGTGCATAAAGTTGTATTTGTCTTTTAACAGTGTTTTTAGGAAGGATCAGTATTGATTACGCTGTAAAATCAACCCGTCATGGAACTAATACTGATTCTCCTTCATATCATTTGTACTCTTTTTGCCAATATGGACGTAAAATAGCTCTAAAATTAAATAACTGTTGAATTGATTTCTCACCCGCTGTGAGACCGTCAGTCTTCAGTTTTATTGGCTGCTTTTATCAGAATGTGGATAAAGTTCGATCAGAGACAGCCGACAGGGACAGACGGAGATGTACATATATCTGTGCGTAGATGAAGTGAAGGACACGTCCTCGTCTCTGACTGTCCTTGCGGGACTCGTTCCTGGCGTCAGACCGGCCTAAATGAGACTGAACAGCTGGCTGGCCTCTGATTGGCTCTGTGATGCTCGAGATGTTGGCGGCTGTCGGCGAGATCCCGCTTTATCTCTGCCAGCTTAATTTGCAGAAGAGCGAGATGTTAAGAAAATAAGAAAAGGAGGTTTGAAAAAGCAGCTTATTACTCTGGCTGGCTCAGCTTTCACCTCGTCCAACTCAGGAGTCAGATCAGTTCAGTGAAAGAGCTTCTGTTCTGTTTCCATTTCTCTACCTCACTTCTGCAGGGTGAACAGGGGCTTTGAAAAATAAACATTTAACATGATCAGTTGCAGTTTAATGATGATGTTAAAACCTAATTGAGGTTTCAGATACAAAATGCTGCTGTGGAATATGATGGTCATTACAATAATCATTGTTTTGGGGAAACAGCAGCTACAGGCTGACGGACGTTTAATAACTGTAAAATAACACATACAGAAACTCCCAGTCCGGGTACACACAGCTAATAGGAGCTAGTACAGTTACAAACAATGAATCTGCAGATTTCTGAATAACCGTTAACTGTTGTGTGTGTGTGTGTGTGTGTGTGTGTGCAGGTGAACGGGACGGAGGCTGATTACGAGTACGAGGAGATCACACTGGAGAGGGTGAGGCGGCAGTCCTTTTTATTGTTGTTCTCTCTCACATAAACGAGTCCATAACTCAGAGGAGTCCTGGCAGCAGACGCCGACAGCCTGACTTTGACTCACTGCTTTTATTGTACTTTTAAACTCCGGAGGACCAACTGGAGCCTCCACAGACCTACAGGACTTCATCTTAACTTCTCACTCAGAAATCTGTGGAATAAATGAATCTGTTCAATGTATAAATGTGTGCAGCTGGTTTAAAATCTGTATTATTATCTTCTGTTACATCTTCCCCTTATGTTCAGTGCAGTCCTTATTTTAACAGGCTAACAGGTAAAAGATTTTCTGTAAAATAAATGAATGAATGAAGAACTGTGATTATCCTGATGCCCCAAATACTCGAATACTAGAGCTCCAAATGTGGATCAATCCACCGGTGAAAATAGTCCCTAACGGAGGCTCTATTTTCCTTCTGTTTGGTTAAAAACTACTGAACTTTTTTTTAAACCTGAAACTACGTATTTGTGTTCTCAGTAGGAACCAGTGAGCCGCAGACAGGAAGTCAGTTGTCCTTTTGAGTCTGAACGTGAAGATTTTTCTGTTTCTCTATTTTATTGCTCAGGTATGTTGACGCGTTTTGTTTTCATTTATTGTGGTTGTCATGGTGATTGCCGTGGTATCCAGGGTAACTCGGGACTGGGCTTCAGCATCGCGGGCGGCACAGACAACCCCCACATCGGCGAAGACCCGAGCATCTTCATCACCAAAGTCATACCTGGAGGAGCCGCCGCTCAGGACGGACGGCTAAGGTCAGTATGAAGTTCATCTGGAGTCAGTGAAACTTCATCATAGTTACAGGATTAGTTTCTACACCTCATATCACTGTTGAGGTGCATTAAAATGTATCAGAAAAGAACTGAATTTATGTACCAGCGTTTAAAAACTACTGCACCAGTGTGGTCGCTACCAGACTCCATTAATAAAACCAGTAATTTTACCTCACATATAATTAAAGTGAACAGAAACAGAATCAAACTCATTAAAGCGTCTCTGTTAGTGTTTCCAACAATCACCAACTCTGGTTTGGTGGAAATAAATCCTTAATTCCACCGACGAAACATGATAAAAACAGCAGTTTTCAGTCGGAGCAGACTGGCTATGGAAACAAACCACAGAGAGGCTGCGATACAACACAGGGCAGAGGGAGAGAGACACCATGTGACTTGTGTTCTTTATACAGAGAATTAGCTGCTTTTAAGAGCTGGTGTGCGTTACCCAGAATCCCCTGCAGCGTCCTGCTGTCTTTCACTACCTCATTAATAATGCAGCCAGAGTCTGACACACCTGATCCAGGTGAGGATGACAGACTGCAGGATGAAGAGCGGCGGGTCCTGCCTCAGTCTCAGGTTGCCTCTAATGTGAACCCTGTTTGTTGGTCTGTCAGTCATCAGGGAGGCTCATGTGTCCGACTGAAAGCTCAGGTCAGGTAGAGACAAACTGAAACTCATTGATTAAAGAGTCATTGATCACTTATTGCTTTGTTCTGTTCAGTCTAAACAAATATGTTTACAGTGTTCATACTCGTACTGTGAATATAGACACATCACATATAGACTCAATCCAGCATAAAACATAAAATCTAAAATAAAACAACAAACATTTGTTTAACTCGTGTTTAATCTGTGTTTCAGGGTCAACGATGTCATCCTGAGAGTTAACGAGGTGGACGTTCGGGATGTGACCCACAGCCGAGCTGTGGAGGCTCTGAAGGAGGCCGGCTCGCTGGTGCGACTCTACGTCCGCAGGAGGAAACCCGTCTCGGAGAAAGTGATGGAGATCAAACTGGTGAAAGGCCCCAAAGGTACCAGAAAGGGTTAAATATCCAGTCGGCAGGTACAGGAGTCGTCTCTGTGCGTCTCTGCTGGCTGAGGAGCTTTGGTGAAATCCCTCAGGGCCTCACGATTATTCAGACTCAAGAACAAAGCCTTGGTTTCCACGGAAACATCCTAAAATATGCTTTTGTGCATTTATGTGTCCTGATTTGTGCCGGTGTTAAATTGGCAGCAGCCTGCTGTTGCTGTGATATCTTATAAATGTTGGTGCTCACTAACGTCCCCCCTCTGGTTCTGGTCTGTGGTGTGCTTCAGGTCTTGGCTTCAGTATAGCAGGCGGCGTGGGGAACCAGCACATCCCGGGCGACAACAGCATCTATGTCACCAAGATCATCGAAGGAGGAGCTGCACATAAAGACGGGAGGCTGCAGATCGGAGACAAACTGCTGGCTGTAAGACTCGTCACTCCTTATTTAATCGTTTCAAAGGTTCTGAAGTATTTTCTGTCTCTGTGTGAATCACATTGATCTGCAGACAGTGAACAGGTTGTAGTA